GGGGGTCCCCCTAAATCATAATTCAAAAGTTTCGGCTTCAGGGTCTTGTTGAGGGTTCAGGGCTTGGGTTTCGGGGGTTCAGGGCTCTGTGTTTAGGGTTCAGGGTTCTGCAGGTTCAAGGTTTAGGCAATTCAGGGTTTAGGGTGTAGGGTTTTGGGGTTTTGGGTGTAGGGTTCAGGGTTTTACGGGCACTTGGAAATACGGCTAATTTTGTGGTAATTATACTCCCTAAGAAACAGCTACATAAAGCTATGATTGTGCAAGGGTGCCAAGCTGTCATGTTCATGACAGTATAAGCACATGCGATGGTTAAAGGCGTTGTGTTTGTAAAAGGCTTAAGGGGCCTATAACCATAAACCCTAAACCCTGGGTTCAGACTCATAAGTTTCAGAATTTCAAGAAACGAGAGGTTCCCTTACAGTTACTCTTGCAAAATCCCCGTCTGGTGATTTTATAGTAAGGATCCGAGCATTCAGGGGGTCAACTTCTATAAAGAGGGCCCTAGCATAGAGAGGGCCCCTTTGGGGCAGTGGGGTCCGTGCCCCAGGTTCTGATGCTGCCAGATGGAGGATTGACATGGGACTCTAATTACCTACGGTTTCTTATGGGTTCTACCTGCTCATCAAGGGGTACTGGCTGCTAAACTGCAGGTTTAAACAGAGTTGCAGGTCGAGACTCTACCCTAAACCCTAAACCCTAAACCCAAAACCCTAAACCCTAAACCGTCTCAGGAAGTTCAAACTGCAGCTTCGTCTTCTTCTTTGGAAGATTTGGGAACTGCTGGGTTTGGGTTTACACTGCAGGGAGCTTGAAAACTCAGGAGGTTCTGAAGCTTGACCGCAGCAAACAGCAGAGCCCTAACTGGCTCTGAACGCCCAAGGCCCTGAAAGTTACGCCCTCAAGCCCAGAACCCTCAACCCCAAAACCCCAAAGGGGGGCCTACAGGAAAACTAAATCCCCAAACTCCAAACCCTGAATCCTTACCCAAATGCCCGAACCCTAAAGGCCCTAAACCTTAAACCCTAAAGGCCCTAAACCTTAAACCCTAAACCTTAAACTCCAGGGCGTGGCTCTAACTTCGGCGCCTGTGATGCGGCAGCTCTTTGCAGAGCTCACAGAGGCCGGAATTGGGGCTTAGGGTTTCGGGTTTAGGGCTTACCTATAGTCTCCATTGTAGTTCCTTTTTGGGGATACCTTATAAAGTCCTTAATATATATTTGATTAAACCAAAAAAAGGAACTACAATGGAGACTATAGGTAGGAGTGCCTAAGGTTTCGGGTTTTGCCGTGCGGAGACTGGGCTTTAGGTTTCAGGGTTTAGGGGTTAAGTTTAGAAAGTACGCGTGTACACGGTTCAGGATTAAGGGTTAAGGGGGCGTCATACAAAAAGGGTTCGATCAGGGATCTGAAAGGCCCCTATAAACCCTAAGCCCTAAACCCTAAACCCCAAACCCCTAAACCCCTAAACCCCTAAACCCTAAACCCTAAACCCTTTCCTCTCAGGGTGAACTTTAAGGGCTTCCAGAATGGAATTTCTGCGGTTCGGCTTTCCAGGAGCTTGACGGACCCCGGAAGCAATAATATAGGGTTTAGGGTTTAGGGTTTAGGGTTCTGATACTATTTTGGGGGTTCCTTGATTACTGTATAGTTTTACGGGCCACTAAGCCCTAATCCAATTACTATATTAAGGCCTCTACACTTATTATGTGTTTCATTCTTCATATATGACGCTTCTATTGTTTTTCGAACAAGCAAATAGTACGCTTGTATACAGGTAGAACGATACCATGTCACATCGCATCATGTTTGTACAGGGTCTACAGTATCTATCAATATATACATATATATACATACATATACATATACGCATGTTTTGTGCATTATATAATATAAACATATATATATACACACACATGTATCCCTAAGGGTCCAAGCACCTAGTAATCATATACTCTTCTGAACACTAACCTACAAACATACAATCCGTAACCCAAGTACATGATTATCAGGTCCTTTACACCCTTGGGGTATACATGTATACAGAAAAAAGAGAGATAGAGAGACAGAGTGAGCGAGGGAGAGAACGAAAGAGAGATACAGGGAGAGAGAGAGAGAGAGAAA